ACTTTCTTCCCTTTACTATGCCATTCCTCTGGCTTGGGAATTAGGAATTGATTGGCTTGAAAGGGTACTTTGCCAAGCAGTGCTGGAGCTAAATATTAGTCCTGGACTGCTACCTACTGGTCGATAATCATCATAGCGTCTCCTAAATGGATTGTCGACCTTAGCTTCCTCTAGAAAGGATTTCCAGTTTTCTTTTAATGGTAGAGGGTTCTCTTGGATCATCTAAAACAAGTCCCTGACCAGTTAGATCATCATATCCTGAATATCTCTTTAAGGTCCCTTTTAGTTTTAGGATTCAAAGACTCTATTACACCCAGTTTGTTGCTTACTATTCCAGGAGTAAAGCTAGACTATGCAGTGAATCCCATTTTGCTTGATTCTTTAAAACACCAGAGAGTATCCTGGTGTTCTAGTGGTTAGGGTTTGGCGCTTTCGCTGCCATGGCCGCGGTTCAATCCCTGGTTGGAGAACTGGGATCCCACAAGCCTCGCAGCGTGGCCGGGGGCTGGGAAAAAAAAGGATAAAAAGTAAAAAGCAAAAAAAAGTCTGGGACATCAAGCATTAATGTTAATTGAATAACTCAGTGAATGAATAAATACAACCCCTAGAAACTGTTTCTAGATTTTGCTTTTGATTCTCTGGAAAATCCTTCAAAAGCTGTTGGGTTGAGCGTCAGGGTTTGAATCCCAGTTCTGCCACTTTCTAGCTGTGTCCTTGATCAAGTTACTTAATCTCTCTGTGCCTGAGTTTTCTTATCTGTAAAAGGGGGATAATAATGATAATCCTTGTTTTATAGGATTATTATGAGGATTAAATGAGTTAAATGCGAGGTGTTTGGAAAGGTGACTGAAACAGCAAGAGTAAGGGTTAAATGCAGTTTAGTGGTTGTTATTATTATTTCTACTGCTAGTGTCATCTGTCTAATGCCATGAAGGTGATTAGATACGGGGCAAGGTGATTAGAGACAGACTGTGCTCCCAGCTGCCTGAGGCAAGTGGGGACGCCAGCCTAGGGCTGAGAAGCGGCTCGACCAGCAGGGAGGTCCCACCAAAGACCTGTGTCAAGTGTAGACGCAAACAAACACCCAGGTGGTCCAAACTCCCTCCAGTTATTTTGTCCCACTGACCTGCCACTAAAGTCACCCCAGTTAAAATGTGTGGGGAAGGGGTAATACCAAGATTGATCATCTTTCAAAATCCTCTTAAGAACAATTTCATTCATTCACTCAGCAAACCTTTATCAAGTCCCAACATCCTCTCCTCGGGGTGGTGTGGGATTCTGACACTGGTCAGGATTCAGAGGTTCCCTAGTGTCTGAGGCCAATGGGGCAGCTGAGGGTTCGGCTTCAGAGAGGCCCTGAGAAGTGGGTGAGGATCAACAGGGCGCCCACTTTCCTGTCAGCTTGATTTTATCCCCCTAGCCTCCCCTCATCCTATATGTGCCTACAGTGAATTAAAATGAGTTCCTTATTTGGGAGAATCCCCTGACAACTAGAAACCATGCCGGGTGTCCAAACCCTGGGCGCACAGGTGAGGAGTGTTTGGAAAAGAAGAGACATTGCTTCTCTCTCAGCCCAGATCCCTGTGGAAGCCCCTCTGTGAAGGCAGCCCGTCCCCTCGAGGTCCCCTCAGCCCATCCAGGCTTCTCCAAGGACCGTGAAGACAGCCCAGGAGGCAGCCTCGGCTCCTAACATCCGGCCTCTGAACGAGGCCGTGTGCCCTTCTGAGTCACCTGGGGTTGGCCTGACCCTAAACTTCCTCATCTCCCCACTCCACACCCACAAGTGCCTCCTTTTCTCTCTCTACCCAAAGGACAGCAGCAATGTCTTTCCCTTTCTGCAGAGGGAGTCCTTCAGATTTTTGTCTTTTCCCCCCCTCACTCCCCCAGGGAGTTGCTGATCTGAGGCAGTTTACTTTCTTCCGCCATCTGGTCCAAACCGGCCCTTGCTGGTAAAAATGTCAGCCGTTTGCTCTTTCCCCTGGGCTGCTGAGATAGCCTGATATGGAGCTGTCTTCTCTGTTGCATACAGGACATTCCCAAAGCGAACACACGGCCGAGAGGGTGGGCCCCCAGCCTGACCTTTGGCCCCTGAGCCGCTGCGAGGCCTGAGGAGGCCACTGCCTGTCCCTCTTTCCTGGTAACCCCGTAGCTTTAGTATTTAACAGCCATGTTCCCTGAGCCAACGAACGTTCTTTCACTCCAGTTTCCGCTTAACACTGCAAAGACTTGATTCTCAGAGTCTGAAGGAACTTACTGACCCTTACAGCAAAGAGAGCTAAATATATATACCAGTGATAAGCAACTGGGCTCAAATATCTAAAATTATTTTGATAACAAAAAAGAAACCGACTCACAGGTCAGAGAACAAACTAGTGGTTACCATTGTGGGAGGGGAATATAGGGTGAGTGGGGTAGGTACAAACTATTGGGGGTAAGATAGGATCAAGGATGTAGTGTACAACACAGGGAACACAGCCAATATTCTCTAATAAAATGGAAAGTAACCTTTAAAAACTATTAAAATTTTTAAATTAAAAACTAAAAAAATGCCACATGACCGCCCCCCCCAATTTTTTTTGATAAGCATATCTGAAATCCCTCTGTTGAGAATCTCAGTGTCTAACACCAAAGCCTTACCTGACTGTGGAAGAGCATCAGTAAAGGCAAAAAAGTGCTGCTCTAAATCTTCCAAGTCAGAGAATGGGCGCTGGGACCGAACACGGCGGGGGCAATCAGAGGACATCTCTCGGTGACACTCCCAAACACATCCACAAATTCTCCAAAGTCCATGGAGTTGACCTTCTCAATGTCCATCGCCTGTGTTCCACTGGCGGCAGCAGGACCTGGGCTCCCCTCCGGGTGAGTGAGAGACGCGTCTCTGCTCGCCGAGTTATATTTGCTGAATGCATAGGCTTGTTTTTTATGCAACACCAGCTTGGCATGTTTTAAATGCCTCTGGGAGAAGCCGATCCAGAGTACTTGTGCAATCAACAAACACAGGCTTAAGGTCTAATCCAGGGAGCAGAGGTCTTGTAAAGGGGTAAGGCTATCCAACCAAACTCTTCCCACCATCGAAGCCGGCAGGGGCCATATTCACTCACAGTGCTCAAGCTCGATAGACTTTTTGTGCCATTAGCATTTTCATGTCAATGTTGTCCCAGGGAAGTTTTCCCTGGTAACCCAGGCAGGTCACAAGTCGACCCGCTGGAAATTCCATGTCCCGTCTTGTTGCTACTGCTGTGGAGAACAGGTAGTATGTTTTACTCTTTCTCTGCATTTCAAATGCTTCACACAATAAGTATCTAATAAACTCTCACTCAACAAGAAGCAGTGTCTAAGGAATCATTCTGCCCCATTCTCAGTTGTCGCCCAGACACTGTTATGTGTTATTTTCTTCCTGAATATATCTATCCTTATCTGAAATCCCCTTGCTTATTCTATTTATTTTCGTATCACCTCTCAGCCACAGTGAATTCTACGAGCCTGGAGACAGTGTGTCTGGTTTGCTTGTGTCCTGGGTGCCAAGAACCGAGACCTCAGGAGGCATGTAATAAACACCGTGGGGTGAATTAGTTGACCAGATGACCACATAGATTAAATTTCTCACCCTGATACCTTTTATGTATACTCAAAACAAAAATCCTGTGGAAGAAGACATAGAGAACATAGATATTTGTGGTTGCCAAGGCGCAGGGGGTGGAGGAAGGAAAAACTGGGTGTTTGGGGTCAGAAGATGTAAACTATTATATATAGAATGGGATAAACAACAAGGTCCTACTGTAGAGCACAGGGAACTATATTCAATATCTTGTGACAAACCATCATGGAAAAGAATATGAAAAAGAATAGATATATACATGTAACTGAATAACTTTGCTGTACACCTGAAACCAACACAACATTGTAAATTAACTACACTTCAATTAAAAAAATAAAATTAAAAAATACTGTGGAAGATAAAGTCAAAGGAAAGGGGGGGTCAGAATTTTAAAATATAAAGATATTGCTGCTCTTTCCCTGTAGAACTGAAAATGCAAACATATTTCCAAAAGTCATGCTAACTCCACATTGGCTTTCATCTGAATCAAAATTCAATGAGAGGATTTACAATAGCCAGGACATGGAAGCAACCTAAGTGTCCATCGACAGGTGAATGGATAAAGAAGATGTGGCACATATATACAATGGAATATTACTCAGCCATAAAGAGAAACGAAATTGAGTTATTTGTAGTGAGGTGGATGGACCTAGAGTCTGTCATACAGAGTGAAGTTAAGTCAGAAAGAGAAAAAACAAATACCGTATGCTAACACATATATATGAAATCTTAAAAAAAAATGGTTCTGAAGAAACTAGGGGCAGGACAGGAATAAAGACACAGAGGTAGAAAATGGATTTGAGGACACGGGGAGGGGGAAGGGTAAGCTGGGACGAAGTGAGAGAGTGGCATGGGCATATATCCACTACCAAACGTAAAATAGATAGCTAGTGGGAAGCAGCCTCATAGTACAGGGAGATCAGCTCGGTGCTTTGTGACCACCTAGAGGGGTGGGATAGGGAGGGTGGGAGGGACACGCAAGAGGGAGGGGACATGGGGATGTATGTATGTGTATGGCTGATGCACTTTGTTATAAAGCAGAAACTAACACACCATTGTAGAGCAATTATACTCCAATTAAAAAAAAAAAAGAAAAAAAATTCAATGAGAGGGCAACCACATTAGCATTAATAGATCAGTCACATTGGCCCGCACACTCTGTGAGAGGCAGGTGACAATCTATCAGCAGCCACAGATTTTGTCCTAACTCTGTGACGTTTCCCATCCCAGGTCTCACCCTGACTGCCTGGGCCAAAGGGTCATGATTGAAGGACTGACAGAAAAGAAGTTGATGAAATTCGCTTTTCAAAGGGGGCCAGAAGTACCACCACTACAGGCCATGTCTTCAAATATGAAAAAAGGTATAGATATCAGATTAACACTTGCACATCGTATACCTCACATAGGTATGTGAAAACACACTGGATCCTGTAGTGTGTTTGCAGTTTCGGGCAAAGAGCCCAGTGTGGAGGACATGGACCCGGGAGAGCGCTGGTCCAGGCTCTGCCACCTACCCACTGGCATTTGTCAAGTTATCGAACTTTTCTGCACCTCAATTTCTTTGTCTGTAACACGGGGCTCAAAAGAGTATTGACCTCATGGGATTTTTACAAAGATGAAATGAATTAATGTACCAAAGTGCTCCTGTTACAAAACACTGCAGAGGTGTCAGCCAATATAACATTGTGTACGATCTCTGCAATGGACCAGCTACAGAGTGTCCTCCTGTTCTCCCTTCTGCCACCAGAATCAACACAGCCCTTTCTCCCTGCAGGTTTCCGCAGACCCAGTTAACAGCCAATATCCACTTCTTCCCCTTCTCCCTCCACCAGCTCCCTCAGCCTCGGTTCATTCCAGCGCTGACCATGCAGCATCGCAATTCAGAACAGAACCGTGGGGAAGAGAAGGCGAGGTCTGTCTAGCCCCTCCCCCTCAGCCTTATTCCGCCCCTGGTCCCGGGCTCTCGGATGAGCAGTTGAGTGGGAACAGATGGCAGAGCAGAAACCGAGGGAGAAGGGGTCCCGGCTCCACTGCTCTGCGTCCCCTCCCTCTTTGTGCGACCCTTACCTACCTTCTCCTCTTATTCTGCATGTGGACCGTCTCCCTCACCCAAGGCGCTCCAGCCTGGGCCTGGAGCCTGGCGGTTCTCAGTTCCTCTGAGAGCTGCAGGAGAGATAGACATCTGCATTTGCAAGTGGAAACTCCTCTGCTCATGGAAATGCTGATACCAGGGTGGGAAGGGCCTTGCCACTGACAGGAGACCAGGAGCCTAACCTTTTATTCTGTGTTATCTATTGCATAACAGTAGGAACTCCAAGTAGCCCACTACTAACAGAGGAACCTTTAAGACACAGAAGGTTAAGGTATTAAATAGTCCTGGATATAGAAGCAACATCCAGCAAAAAAAAACCCTAACTAAAAATTCCTGATGTGGAACCTGGCAAGCCAGGCCACTGAAGCACTCTGGGGCTCAATTAACCCTGTTTGACTCTTCCCCAGTCAAAGAAATGTAAGGTGGTCAGAGGTCAGGCAATTTCCATCCAAGCAAACCAAGCAAAAAGTTAAGTTACTGGGCTTCCCTGGTGGCGCGGTGGTTGGGAGTCCGCCTGTCCATGCAGGGGACGCGGGTTCGTGCCCCGGTCCGGGAGAATCCCGCGTGCCGCGGAGCGGCTGGGCCTGTGGGACATGGCCATTGAGGCTGCGCGTCCGGAGCCTGTGCTCCGCGGCGGGAGGGGCCACGGCAGTGAGGGGCCCACGTACCGCAAAAAAAAAAAAAAAAAAAAGTTAAGTTACTGAATCATACACTATCAACAGGCAAATTATATGGCATATGAATCATGCATCAATAAAGCTATTGTTTTCTTACGTTAATTGATATAGAGTTGTAGCCTCGTAATTTGTGTTTAACCATACAAGCTATGATTCTTATGTTTTGGCTGCCGAATATATTATATCAGACTTCATTATAATTTTTCTTTTAAGAGGCCTTTAGCAGTACATAGAGAAAATTCTTAAATAGGCACAGTCAAATTTTTATTTAGCTTTTTAGGTGAAACATTTCAAGTATCTGCTCCCTTCAACTATAGCCCTTAACTTTTCACAAGCAGAGCTTATTCAGAAGTTTTCTCAATAAGATACCGGGAAGACAAATTGCTTTCCTACACATGCATTTTTAAAATTAATTAATTTATCTATTTTTGGCCGTGTTGTGTCTTCGCTGCTGTGCGTGGACTTCCTCTAGTTGCAGTGTGCAGGCTTCTTGTTGCAGAGCACGGGCTCTAAGCGCTGCAGGCTTCAGTAGTTGTGGCACATGGGCTCAGCTGCTGTGGCTCGTGGGCTCTAGAGCTCAGGCTCAGTAGTTGTGGCGCACGGGCTTAGTTGCTCCGCGGCATGTGGGATCTTCCCGGACCAGGGCTCAAACCTGTGTCCCCTGCATTGGCAGGAGGATTCTTAACCACTGCGCCACCAGGGAAGTCCCTAGACATGCATTTTTAATTTGAAGCAAACTGGGAGTTGGAACTCGTGTGATCTTGCTGTTACCAGACTCATTTCATTGGCTGAGGACTGAGCTAAAGCAAGATGAAGTCCTGGCAGAAGGAGGCCAGAGGGCCGAAGTGGACGGTAAGATGGTGAGGAGGTGGCCAGCATGGGTGACGGGTCAGACCTGCATTTAGTGTCTCCGCGGATCTAAGTAAGTGACTTAATCCTTCTTAGGCTTACGTCTCCGTTTCACCGTTAAACTGCCACAGAACAAGCTCCCACCTCACAATTTGTTAAATGAGAAAATCCACGTGAAGCCTTCAGCACAGCTCTGGAATATAGTGTGTCATCAACAAATCAGCACAATATAAAGAATTCATCCAAGCAAACCTTGAGGACATTATGTTACAAAGAGACATATCCTGCACGATGCCACTTATAGGAAGTACCGAGAGTAGCCAAATTCAGAGAAGCAGAAAGCAGGATGGGCTGCCAGGGGCTGGGGGAGGGGGGAGAGGAAATAGGGAGTTAGTATCTAATGGGGACAGTTTCAGTTGGAGAAGACGAGAACGTTCTGGAGCTGGATGGTGGTGACAGTTGCACAACACTGTGAGTGTGCTTAATGCCACTGAGCTGCACACTGAAACATGGCCAAGATGTGTACACGCTACTCCATGTAAAACAGATAACGAAGACCTACTCACAGCACAGGGGACTACAGTCAATACCTTGTAATAACCTGTAACGGTAAAGAGTCTGGAAAAGAATAGATATACATATATATAACTGACCAAATCATTTTGCTGTACACCTGAAACTAACAAACACATTGTAAATCAACTATACATCAATTTATAAGGTGGCTAAAGTGATAAATTTTATATTATGTATATTTTAGTGCAAAAAAAATCATCAAAGACTTTTCTGCCTCTTTAATTTGAAATTTAATACACGTTGGGTCTCCAGGAGCTAAAAAGATGTGTTTTTTTTAGGTGATAAGAGCTCCTCCTTTTTTTTCTGTTGCTGATGGTGATTGGGGCACAGACACTGGCAAATGTGAATTCTGATACGTCGTTTATGTTTGACAAAACCGACAGTCGGCCTGGCAGGCGAGTTCAGACAAATCTGTTTCTGAGAAGGTCCTTCATGAAGAGCTGAAGAGAGAGAAGCTCGATCAGGAAGGAACACAAGCGGCGGTGGTGGGAGAAGAAGGGCTGCAGCTGTGATAAGAGGTCACCCAGGTATCTCCCTGCTGCAGGCCAGCCCCTCAGGGTGTTTTTCTTAATTCTGAGAATCTCTAGGAAACAGTCTTTGTTTTCAGTATAGGAAGCCAGTCCAGGCTCAGATAACATTAAGCAGAGAAGGTGCTCCAAGAAGCAGCTCCGAAGCGCATTCCCTGCACAGATGAATGCACCGTGTAGAATAAATACCAGGTCCTCGGAAAGAATCTGACCCCAGGCTGCTCCATTACGGTCGGGAATGTGTAAATAATGCACATAAAATGCACTATCATTCCCACGGTTGGTGAATAAATGAATTGATGTTGTCTGCATAGAGGGTTATTTTTCCTTCTAATCAACTGACTGGCCTTTTCTTTAATTCTGCTTCTTACAATTTGTCTGTCCAGGGGCAGGCTGGAGTCCTGGAGTCTGGCTCGGTCATGAAAACAGTGGTCCCAGGGCGCCACCTACTGGCAAGATTCCTACAAGGGCTCGGCGGCAGGGGCTGTCCAGGCGGTAGCAGCAACGCTTCTCTAAGATCCGAGCTTGTAAATTGTGTTCTGACACCTTTTTAAAATGTGTAGTTATGTCAGGGACACAACTTGACCCAAACTAAACCTGTTGAAAGAGCTGGGTTTAAAAGGGTCTAGTTTCATTTTCCCTTAGGAGGTTTTTATTTATTTATTTGTTTGGATTTTATTGAAGTGTAGTTGATTTACAATGCTGTGCCAGTTTCTGCTGTACAGCGAAGTGACTCAGTTACACACACACACACAGACACACAGACACACAGACACACAGACACATACACACACACATATACACACATACACACATGCACACACATACACACATGCACACACATACACAACACATACACACACATACACACACACACACACACACACATATATATATATACACACACATACTTTTTCATGTTCTCTTCCATGATGGTTTATCACAGGATATTAAATATAGTTCCCTGTGCTCTACAGTAGGACCTTATTGTTCATCCATTCTCTACATAATAGTTTGCATCTGCTAATCCGAAACACCCAATCCTTCCCTCCCTATCTGCTCCCCTGAGAGGATCTTAAATGCCATCCTTCCTTGGATTGGGACTTTGGGATTAGCAGATGCAAACCATTATGTAGAGAATGGATAAACAAGGTCCTACTGTAGAGCACAGGGAACTATATTCAATATCTTGTGATAAGCCATAATGGAAAAGAATATGAAAAAGAATGTGTATATATAACTGAATCACTTCGCTGTACAGCAGAAATTAACACAACATTGTAAATCAACTATACTTCAATAAAATAAATTTTAAAAATAAAATAAATGCCATCCCTCCTAAGAAAATATTGCCTTTTAAATATATTTGGTACGTACAAAAATTATGTTATTAAGTATAATACCATGAGGGGGACTTCCCTGGTGGTCCAGTGGTTAAGACTCCGTGCTTCCGATACAGGGGGCACGGGTTCGATCCCAGGTCGGGGAACTAAGATCCCACATGCCTCACGGCACGGCCAAAAAATTAATTAATTAATTAATTTTAAAAAAATAATAATAATACAGTGAGGAACACCTGTGAACCCATTACACCGCCCAACCCCTAAAACTTCAAATATCATGTGAAAATGAATAAATAGTAGTAATTGTATATTCACAGCTCCGTGTAATATCATGAGTGAATCTTAGCATAATGTTGGTTGTTTTTTTTTGTTTTTTTTTTAATGAAAGTAGGCTCTGGAAGTCTACACAGTGTATGACACCTTTTTTTGTAAAGTTCATGAACGTCGGCTGTTCTTCACACAGTCTGGGGGCAGGAGTCATGGAGCCTTTCAAAAATATGACAGAGGAATTAGCCATCACCATAGGAGAAATACACACAGGCACAAACAAAACATCTGACATGGTTTCAGTAGGTTCATGACTCCAGTTAAGTCTCACCCTAAATCTACCATGTAAACAATTCAATAACGAACATTTCTATAGTAGAAATTTTATTTCCATTCATAAAATATATCACTAAATAGCTGGAAAAGTTACATATTATTTTAAAACATAGATTTAAAAAATCATATTAGCTTCTCCTTAGCAAAATGCTTTTGTCTTATGTATTTACAAGAATATACTATACTTCAGGTACACAATTTTCACTCAAGCCAGACTGGGAAGGCCTGTGGATGTAGGTAGATGCTCCGATAAAGTTAATTATCAGCTCTTCTTGCCTTGTGCAAAGAATGACTGGATTTTACAAAAGTCCCTTTGGAAACGAGAGTAAATACAGAGAGCTTCTAGAGAAAAGTCCAGCAAAGCAGCAGTTGAGAATATATTTTCATTTAGTGATGAAATTAATCTTGTTTTGGTAATCTACAGCCTGTTTAAGGTAGGCGGGGGGATGATGTCCTTAAAGACTA